GGCTAAGCGCAAGGCCATTATCGAGATGAAGAAGCTGGCTTTGTACTCCAAACAGCGAGCGCTGAGGGATAAGGTTGGGAAACAAATGCTACACTATGATAACCTTGCGATGACGACAAATAGGACAATGTACCGCCGCATGAAGAAGCAGAGTGTTAGGGAAGCCCGGGTTACCGAGAAGCTTGAGAAGCAGCAACGTGACGCGCGCGAGAATAGAGAACGCAAGAAGCACGTCGAGTTTCTGCAAGCGGTTCAAAACCACAAGGTGGAGATACAAAACGTCGCCTCAATTCAGCGTAACAAGCTGCAGAAGATGGGTCGTCTCATGTATGCGCATCACTTCAACATCGAGAAGGAGGAGCAAAAGAGGGTGGAAAGGACGGCCAAGCAGCGTCTGCAGGCCCTCAAGGCCAACGACGAAGAAGCTTATCTCAAGCTGCTCGACCAGGCCAAGGATACTCGTATTACTCACCTTCTCCGCCAGACCGACGGTTTCCTTCATCAGCTCGCCTCGTCGGTTCGTGCACAACAGCGCGAGGCCGCCGAGCGTTATGGCGACGATTTGCAAAACATCCCAGAAGAGGAGAGCGATGTGGACGAGGACGAAGAAAGTAGCCGGAAGATCGACTACTATGCCGTTGCGCACAGAATCAAGGAAGAGGTCACAGAACAAGCCAGTATTCTGGTCGGTGGTACTCTCAAGGAGTACCAGCTCAAGGGTCTGCAGTGGATGTTGTCGCTCTACAACAACAACCTCAACGGTATCTTGGCCGACGAAATGGGTCTCGGAAAGACTATTCAGACAATCAGTTTGGTCACGTATCTCATCGAGAAAAAGCAGCAGAATGGACCGTACCTGGTTATTGTTCCGCTCAGTACGCTCACCAACTGGAACCTCGAATTCGATAAGTGGGCGCCATCCGTTGCCAAGATCGTCTACAAAGGTCCTCCCAACACCCGCAAGCTGCAGCAGGAGAAGATCCGTCGTGGGGAATTCCAGGTTTTGCTCACGACATACGAGTACATCATCAAGGATCGCCCGCTGTTGAGCAAGATCAAGTGGTTCCACATGATCATTGATGAAGGACATCGTATGAAGAACGCTAACTCGAAGCTGAGCGCCACCATCCAGCAGTTCTACAGCACCCGATTCCGCTTGATTCTCACCGGTACTCCCTTGCAAAACAACCTTGCCGAGCTGTGGTCCATGCTCAACTTCGTCCTGCCGAACATCTTCAAATCAGCCAAGACCTTTGATGAATGGTTCAACACTCCTTTCGCCAACACGGGTGGGCAGGACAAGATGGAACTCACAGAAGAAGAGCAGATTCTTGTCATTCGTCGTCTGCACAAGGTGCTGCGGCCATTCTTGCTGCGTCGTCTCAAAAAGGATGTCGAAAAGGATCTGCCAGACAAGACAGAAAAGGTTATCAAGTGCAAGTTTTCGGCCCTGCAGCAACGTCTGTACAAGCAAATGGTTACCCACCAAAAGATTCTTGTCAGCGACGGAAAGGGAGGCAAGACTGGTGCCCGTGGTTTGAGCAACATGATCATGCAGCTCCGCAAGCTCTGCAACCATCCATTTGTGTTTGACGAAGTCGAGAACCAAATGAACCCGACCAACACCAGCAACGACCTGCTGTGGAGAACAGCCGGTAAGTTTGAGCTTCTGGACCGTGTGCTGCCCAAGTATAAGGCAACGGGCCATCGTGTCCTGATGTTCTTCCAAATGACCGCTATTATGGACATTATGGAGGATTTCCTCAGGTTCCGTGGCATTCAGTACCTCCGTCTTGACGGTACAACCAAGGCGGAGGACCGTTCCGAGCTCTTGAGGCTTTTCAACGCTCCTGACTCGCCTTACTTCATGTTCCTTCTCTCTACCCGTGCCGGTGGTTTGGGTCTCAACTTGCAGACTGCCGATACAGTCATTATTTACGACTCGGATTGGAACCCTCATCAGGATTTGCAGGCTCAGGATCGTGCTCATCGTATCGGTCAGAAGAACGAAGTGCGTATCCTGCGTCTTATCAGTTCGGCCTCGGTGGAAGAAAAGATCTTGGAGCGTGCCAGATTCAAGCTCGACATGGACGGCAAGGTCATTCAGGCCGGTCGTTTCGATAACAAGTCGTCCGAAACCGATCGTGATGCCATGCTCAGGACTCTGCTTGAGACGGCAGACATGGCGGAGGTTGGTGAGCAGGAAGAGATGGATGACGAGGAACTCAACATGATTTTGGCCCGTAACGAAGATGAGTTGGTCACGTTCCAGCAGCTTGATGATGAAAGAGCTCGCGATCCGCTCTATGGTACGGCGCCGGGATGTAAGGGTATCCCTCGCCTCATGGCTGAGAAGGAACTGCCCGATATCTACCTTCAAGAAGGCAATCCGATTGAGGAAGAAGAAGCGGTCTCTCTCGGTCGTGGAGCTCGTGAGCGCACAAAGGTCAAGTACGACGATGGTCTTACAGAAGAGCAGTGGCTCATGGCAGTTGACGATGACGATGATTCGCCGGAGGCTGCGGCAGCCCGCAAAGCGGCACGTAAGGAACGCCGTGAACAAAACAGGCTCAAGAAGATGGCAATCCTCAACAATGCTTCCGGTTCCGTGGATGCCTCACCAAGTGTAAGTCGGGCTAGTACTGAGGAGGTGGAGGTCGCCCCGCCGACACCCAAGAAGCGTGGTCGTAAGCCTGGCAGCAAGAATCTCGAAAAGCGCCCTAGGGAGGATGGTGATGATGAACCTCCTGTCACCAAGAAGCGTCGCGGACCTGGTGGCCGGCCCAAGGCGGTGTCGAACGGAGACAGTCGCATGTCAGCAGAAATGCGCACTAAGCTGCAGCAGAGCATGAGGCGGATCTTTGATGGGTTGATGAACCTTGAAGTGGAGGATGACGAGCCTGCCGAGCAGCTAGATGGTGACAAGGACGAGGACGAAGGCCCACCCACCAGGCTGATTATTGGTCCTTTCGTCAAGCTGCCGCCTAAGCGTGAATGGCCGGATTACTACCTCATGATTACGAACCCGATTTGCATGAAGGATATCGAAAAGAAGATGAAGAAGGAGGACTACCACTCACTTTCGGATATGCGGAAGGACTTGGAGTTGTTGGTGAGGAACTGCAGGACGTTCAACGAGGAGACATCCATGATTTGCATAGATGCAAACAGGATAGAGGTATGTTGTTCCCACCCTTGGTCACTTAGGTAATTGTTTACTAACAACCATTTCTCAGGCTCACTTCAAGGATCAATTCGAGAAGGAGCTGAATGATCACCCCGAACTCCGCACCCTCGAGGACCCCTCCTCCTCAACCTTTTCCGTAGGAGCATCCTCAACAAAGGACGGCTCAGTCGCCCCATCCACCATCACCAACTTCACTGAGACTCCGCAACCATCGTCGGCACCTCCCGTGCTAGCGCCAGCACCGACCCAACCGACCAGGATCAAGCTCGTGTCTAGCTCAACGTCTTACAACAACGCCGCTTCCTCGTCCAGCGCAATGACATCAGCCGTGAACAGCATGAGTGTCAGCCAGGTGATGAACGGTACCAGCGCGGCGGACAGCGAAGCCGGAGATGAAGATTAGCGGGCTTATTAGCGTCATCGCCAGCGTCAGCGTGAGTGGCGGTCTCGTGTGGAGAGCAGTAGTAGTAGCCATTTCGATGATAGCGGTGATGATGATTACCCATCGGAAGAAGAATAAACAAGTGTTCAGCATCAGTGTAGGAAGGAGATGAAATGGTGGGTGGATGGGAGCATACAAAACAGTAGACTACAGGTAGTGGTCACTACGTAGTAGTCCTTGTATACATGACCTACAATACGAAACTCCCCGTGCGGACGGACGGACAGACATACATATGGTACGGCATGGCATGGCAAGAAAAGAGAATTAAACTTAAAGCAGAAGCGAAGACGAAAGGAGAAAGATGAAAGACGTGGTATGTATGACATTCAGGTTTTTCGGCTTATTCGGTTGTTTCGGTAACAGGATGGATGGATGGGGGTTGAATGGATTTTAGGTATCATGGCATTGACATAGGATACTATTATACTAAAGACGTTATGTTATGCTTATGGTTTCGACTTGATGCCTTGGTTGACTGGCTGAATCATGTTGGGGAGGCAACCGTGAGGTTATTAGTATATGTATGGAGTAATTCGTGACAACACAACTCTCGACGGTCCGCTCATCTATCTTCCTTGGTTCTTTTCTCGTAGGTAACCGAGTTTCCGTGCTACGATCGGCCAGTTGACTTGCTTACCTTTGCTTGATGTGTTATCTAGCAGGCGGAGAAACTCACTCGATATGCTTACCGTGTCTTTTTTTTTTTTTTTTTTTTTTTTTGACTGATCCTGTGTGGATGTGTGTTCTCAATTGGAAGATGTGACTACCTTCCCATCTGTCTGGCCGCTGTTCTTCGGAGGATGGGTGAGTTTACGCGCCCCCCGAGTCAGAGATTAATTCGTACCTCCCTTTCATTCCGTTTGTCACTTTTGTTTACCTTGTATCTACAGACCTTCCATACTACAATCAGATCTCTTCTCTCTGGCTTGAGGCTCGCCCGGATTCTAGTTACTTGTACGCCGTCCGCCTTTGATATCGACAGCCATAGATTCGTGACTTGTTGTGGCGCGTGTCTGCTGGTGAGGAAGGTGACAGAGGGATGCATGATGGATGAGAAACAGATTATCATGAGATCAAACAGTTACTTGGAACCATCTCTCTATTCCCCGTTAGACATCATTCATATCCTTCCTACATTGATTGTGTTTTTGATATCTCCTTTCAGCCTACGAAAAAAAAAACACAAATGGGTAATACACCGACAGCTGAAAACATCTTTGTTGCTAAACGACAGACACCCAAAAAAGCCTCTTGGTACTTTCGGAAGGAAACACTGACAACAAAAATAGAAAGAAAAAAGAATTGTAAAGGGAGGAAGGGGGAGGAGAGAGAGACAAAAAGAAAGAAATCCATAAAAAAAATAAGAAATGCCTACTACAGGAATCGAACCTGTGATCTTTGCATGTCGAGACAATGACCCACTTCTTTGGGAGTTACCCGCAGATGGTGGACAAGGTTATACAAGTGCAACGCATTAGCCACTATGCTAAGCAGGCAATTCACCTTGCTTGGTGGTTATTTGTTGGGTAGTGGTATTTGGACTTTACTTTATGTATAGCCAAACATTACAGTTTCCCGACACGGGCAGAACATGGAAACTTTAAGCCCCCATCATCATTACTAGAGAGGTACCTTCAAGTTGCTTGAACTAACAATAAAAACAACGAATGTTACAAAGGACCTTGAAACGAACGACGATTATCTAGAATTTGGAAGGAATACTATGATACTACGACCGTGATTAAAAGAAAGAAATCGGGTAGGAACTAAACTGGGGTATATCCTTTGTTTCTTTATTAGGCATGTATCGCACTGCCATCTTGTTATTCACCCACTTCAACTTACACGTCCTTCCTATGTACCTCTCTCTACCAAGCTTCCACTCAGCTTGCGTTTCCCGTCCTCCTCCCACCACACCACACCATCACACCATCACTTCCATATTTCACATCACTCACGCACTCATACATGCTCCCCAACCCACTAAAGTTCCAATTTGAAATTGGGTTTACGGCCTCCTTATTGGATAAGACACATTCTGTTTAAACAAAAAGCAGAAAATAACCACCCTGCAGCCAACCATCACATTCCTCCAATAAACACCTGCAGTTACCGTTCGGTGATACCTAGATACTTTTCAGCGCGAACGCTAGCAAGGACGACGACATGGGCGTGTATACATACATACCTACCTCTACCTCTGTAAGTACCTATTATTATGCAGTACAAGTAGTGCCAACAAGACCTTCGCTCAGTTCCAACCCATCCAGATCCGTTCTGTGCTTTTGGCGGTGTAGACACTGCGATGAAATGCGATGAGAAATGCGGCTGAAATATATGCATGCTGCAGCAGCAGGACAAGGGAACATCACCCACTCACCACTCACCACTCACCGGCACTCAATTAGTTTCGAGTCTAGATCCATACGGCTCGCCCGCCTTGATCAAATTATGACAAGGTTCTCTCTCGTAGCTTGGTTCTGGATTGCGACCAAGCGGTAGGTATCTAAGAATCCTGTATTAGATGGGGGAAGGCACCAACGACGACAATGAAGCACCCAACGGATTGTCACATGTCCGTTCGCATCTCTCTCTGCCGCTTTAGAGATCCTGCTTGCTTAGTTACTTGGGAAATTCCTGGCGCTATAACTTACCCAACTTGTGTTGTCAAAAGAGGGCTTTCGCAATGATAATATACGATCTCTTTTGGACCTAAACCCGTAAGTATGCCCGTCCACCCACCCAATTTCCCTACACATATGATGGTTCGGCAATGCCCGTACTGATTTCTCCCATGGGCAGTTCCCTTTTGTTCGATATGGCCGCATATATCTATCTCGGTTTCATCAACTGTCTCGCGACCAACACAAATACACGTGCGACCTAGCTTACATACTTCGCACACAATCCCCGAAGATCAAAGCCCTCCAAGGCAAATTAAGGAGGTTCTAGACTAACGATAAGCAGCCGATAAAAATGCTATAAATTTGTTCTTGGTACAAATTGGGAGGTGTTTGGGTTTGCTTGTGTCTCCCTCTAGGAAAAAAAATCCCCACACTCCAGCATATAAAGAGGCCAACCAAGTGGCCGCGTGACAACCGAAGAGAAGTAAAGAAGTAAAGTAATAACAGAATATAAACAACAATGACAACATGGTGGTATAAGAATTCGCAAACTGGTGGTATATGGTGTGCAGCAAACTCCATGACGCCATCAAAATTCGACAAAAACCAAAGGGGCTGGTTGGCAAACACCCCGCTGAAATCATAAAAAAACGGATCGACGACGAAAATAGTCGCAAAGAAGAAAGGGTTACAAACAATGAAAGGGGGTAAAAATGAGGGAAGGTTTTGGCAAGGGGGGAAGTGACATGCGGTAAAAGGGGTTGAAGTCCCGCAACGACAGCTGCAAGCTTTGGTCGTTTTCCCTCGCTTGCCTGAGAAAAATCGAGACCTCCGATGCTTGTGATGAAACAAGAAGTGCCCGGTATGAAATGAAGGAAGAGAAAACAATATATGACCGACCACACCAGGGTCAAAACACACATAGGCATCATCTTTGTGCCGTAGTTATAGCCCGTGCTGTGACAAGTTCCCTGCCTATGTACACCCACCAGGCGCCAAACACCAAAGACAAGCAATAAGTGGTGCAAGTAAAAGAGAAAAAGGGGTAGCGAGGAGAAGAGAAATCTACAAAGGCAAGGAAATATAATGTGTCCGTGTTGACAACGCGGTGTTGGGGGATGGCCGAGTTCAGCTTGGCCCACCTCTTCGTCTCCGGCCACGGCTAGGGCCGTCAGGCCGCTGAGCAAGGACTTCGCGCAAAAGGGGATCGTCTTTGTCCTTATCAGTATGATGTACTCGCACATGTCTGCAGTGTCAGTATTAGCAATCCGTTCTCGTAGACTTTAGAGTCACTTGTTTACTCATGCCTACCTTTGGAGGTTATCGGGACGAGGATATTTGTGCTCTCGGTCGGGACAGAACGGGCAGACGTAGCCTGGTGAATCATGCACCAATCCATGTCGAATCATCTCGTTCTTGCGCTTGAATCCCCTTCCACCTTCGCCTCGAGAACACCCTGGTACAGGACAGTAATGAGGTCGCGCGGATGAGTGAACATTGGCGTGTGAATTTAGCAAGTACTGCGTCTGAAACGGCGGGGCGTTGCAGCCCTGGAATTTGCACACATAAGTACCCGTGTGGCTGGTTAGGCCATCGATGCTCATTCGGTCGGCTATTGATCCGGGCGACGTTGCGGAGGCATTCATATGACTGCGTGGATGATCTGGGGCCGAGGGTTCTGAACCGCTGGCATAATCGTGCGGCCGTTGTAGGCCATTCCCTTGAGAGAAAAAGTACGGCGAAACAGGTTCCCGACGGTATGGGTCAGAGGCCGATTGTGGCGGCGACGCATGGTTTGTGTATGACAACAAACTTGTCGGAAAACCTGGAGGAGAGCCGGGATAAGGTTGAAGTGGACTTCGCTCAATTATGGGACGGGACAGTTGATTGAGATCCGCCACCCCCAGAGAATCCCTAATGGATGGAAGCGTCTGCTGTGAGGCTCCTTCAAACACTGGGGAGGTCGGATGGATTGGCGGTAAGCCTTCGGGTAGACTATTGGGTGTCAGGGGGTTCGTAGGTGACGCAATTGAGGGTATGCTTCCGGGCTCTCGGGGTGAAAAGGTAATTCCTCGCGGACTATACGGAGTCAGCATCGCAGGCTGGGTTGACCTGTCTGTATCCTTATCCGCCTCCGCTCGCCTCGCCGCTATGGTTGATTGAACCGTCGCTGTATCATGCTCGGTGATTGGCGGCGTGGGACCTGCATCTGCCTCTTCTTGCTTGACACTGGGAGCGCTGAGATTTTGAACCACGCCCAAAGCACCTGCTGCAAGAGACTGTAGGCTGTCAAAACCACCACCGGTGTTGATCTCCCTGGAAGGCTCGGCTGACATGTTTCGACGTCGAAGGCTCAGGTGGAGGTGTTCGATATCGTCGTGGTCTTCCCCGTTGAAGTGAGGGCTTTGAATGATTTCATTACCATCCATGGAAGAAGCAGTGTCGGGCTCAAGGGAGTCGTCTCTGTCGCTGTCGGAATGCTCTGATGGTAAGGCTTCGAGGCCGGCTTGGATGGCAATCTCTGGGCGTCTCCCTCCGTCAAGCATATGAAGCAAGACGGCATCACCCTGACTCGGTTTGGACTTGAAGCGACGATCAGACCTTTTGTTACTCGGACTGGAAGGAGGACTGACTTTGGGGTAAGAAAACTCGTCCAGCGAGCTCGTTGGTGGCCCAAGCTGGGGGTGATAGGGCTTCATCAACGGGCTGTTCTGGGCAAGTAGTACCTCATCTGGATCGTAGCGATCTCCAGTGGGATCGTAGGCAAGAGTGGAAGCGGCCGTCGTACTCATAATTTCGCGTGTCGTCGGTGCTCTCGCTCGCGGAATGAACGTCTATCAATTCGCCATCGAAGATCGGGCAAACACGTGGATGATGTGATCCGTAGACCTCAGGCCTCCCGTCATGCACTACAGACAGGTTGTCTTGTCTCCTCTTGTTGTTGTATAATCCACTCGCGGGTCACCGGCCGTAGAGCTCGCCCAGGTTGTCCCTTGGTCCCCGTCAAAAAAGCCCTTCCCGAGGGCTCCCAACAAGCGGTCCTGGTAAAGTACTGGTAGTCGTCGAAGTAGGGAATATGCGAGTTCGCGCGCTGCTGTGACCATGCGCTGGGCGAACGAAAGCGTAGGGCGGCGGGCATGTAAGAGCCGCAAGAAGCAGCCCAGGGTGTGTGTGCGTGTGCGTGTGGTAAGGAGTTTAGCGAGGAGAGGGCCCAGCAGGTCGAAGTCGCAAAGCAGATCGGAAAGGGCGCTGGACGCGACGCTGGGAGGAGATCAGGCAAGTGGGAGCAGGCAGCCTCGTGACTGATTTGATTGAGCGGGGGGTAGTAGAATTACAAGCCCGCGTCAGATGGGACGACAACCAGATGGAACAGTGAAGCGGGAGGGGGGCTGGGCGTCTGGGGAAGCTGAAGGCGCGGAATGCGGCTCAAGGCCCCAACAGCAACGGCTGGTGGATATCCGGGACAAGGCAGAAAAGGAGGGAGATTTGAAGCAGCAGCCAGAGCGATGGGATGCTAGACACGATGGGGACACAAGGGTCGAGGTACCTCCTAGGTAGGTAGTATACAAGGTCAAGGTAATCAGTGGTATACCGTCGTTACCTTGGCTACCAACCAGGAGTCGTCCAGTCCAAGTCGACGACCAAACTTTGAAGGGCTTGTAGCGAGGTGAGGCCGCCGAGACAGGAATCTCTTTTTATGTTTATTTCTTTCCGGAGATTCCCACACCCTTCAGTTGCTTGGATCCGGTCTCTTCTGCGGCTGCTCTGGCGGGCGAACGTGGTGGGTGGTCTTCTGGGTCTTGCAATGGAAGGAGAAGGCAGGTAGCGAGGTAGGGGAGGATCGAAGATTGGGGCGGATGGGATGGGGGATCGTTAACGGTTTAAGCCGCAAGGCAGGGCAGTGACAGCCACCAACCTGGACGGAGGAAGATGGAAGGTAAGGTTGTTGCAAGGGTGTAAATGAAGAGGCCAGCCCGGGGAAATCAGATTTCAGAGCGGGATCCCGGGCAGTTGCAAGGTGCAGCCGTCTAATGCGATGGACGTGCAGCTGCCCACTGCTAGAGCTGCCCGTGTGAGTGCTACCAGAGCCAAAGAGTGGAGGCGGGGAGGGGGAGAGGAGTGCCCCAGTTGGAGTATGGAAATACGCCTGGGCACCGTGACAGCTGAGAGCTGTGGTTCGTTCGGCTCGTTTAGCACACCTCCCGCCGATAATGTGCTAGGGAAATCGAGGCCCAAGGCATGGAAATGATCAGGGGTCTCATTCAAGAGTGCCAAGGTCTGTCTCTCTCTCTCTCAGCCTGAGACATATAAGATTCCTTTTCTAGCTGTCAAGGACGGCGATATACGACCCTCAGACCCCGCGGCTTTACAGGACTCGACCAGAATCTCCAAGGGCCAGTGAACAATGTTTAGGTGCGGAGTGTGTAGACCAGCCCGATGATAGGTATTGCAAGCAAAGAGACGGAAGGAAGATGCGGCGAGCTCCGATGGACTTTCGTCTCCAGCAACTTGAGCTGCAAAAGTTGGGTTTGATGGGGATGGCCGACGGATTATGCCAGTATGCCTCTTGATATTGGCACGGTCCGGAATGTCCTGTCGGTATCTCTGTTCGCTCCAAGGAAGCTCCTCGCTTTCGTTCTGCGACTCCTCGTGAGGGTACTGCCGTGCTAGAGAAAGAAGAAGAGGTGAACAGGTGGTGAGCAGTTGCAACATTGTGGGTGCGATCTGTCCGTCCGCCGGTTCGTGCGATTCCAAAGCTGGGACGGAAGGAGGCACAGCACCGAGAGAGTGGATGAGGGGTGACTTCAAGTTGTGAGGCTCCTTTTTCCGTGAGGATCCCGATCCCGCCTGTCCGTCCATGCGGCGGCGCCTGGACGTTTAGATGGGAACGACATGCGAGAGAGATGGCTGGCTGGCTGGGCTGGCACGTCGCAGCTTCTACACCTATGTACATACCTACTAACCTACATGGCATTGCACCTACCTACCTACTACCAAGGAGCCACGTCTCGACAAACTTGGAAAAGGTCACGGTTCCATGGGATTGGCAGATTGGCACCGACCGAGTGCAGCGCTGTCACAGTTGCCAGGGGCAGTGCCACAAGTCTGGAAACTGAGAGACCGTACATGTCGACCACAGTTGTCACTGTAGCTATAATTATAATTAATGCGGTGCTGCGTGGCTGGAATTGAGGGACAAAGTGGGCAGAAAACTGGCACCCAGTGGACGTCGGCAATGCCAAAAATGGGAACTCGTCGATAGTGTCGAAAGTGACCGTCAACGTCTCCGCTTTCAGGAGGAAGTTGAGCTCCACAATTCACCATCGCAGCATCCACACTTTGCGGTTTGATAAAGCAAAGGGACGACGGCAATGATGATGCGAGTGAGTGGGGGGAACCTACGACTAATAGTATGTGGGGACTTGTTGATGCCCTTTCGACTCCCAATGTCACCTTCTCTCTGTTTCAATGTTTCAAGGTTACTGCATCACAAGATTGATTCATCTCAACGCTTTTCCATGTCGCCCTATTTCCCCCCCTCCCTCATTGAGCTAAAGCGTTTCACTCGGCTCAATAAACCAAGAACCTTGATGACTGGAAAATGAAAACAATAAAAAACAGTACAGGTGCTACTATGACAAAGAGAGAGTATACGCACGAAACCCAGCGGTTCAACCAAGTTCAACACACGGCCGGGAGGTACTGTAATCTCATGACCCCACTATGCTGAAGCAGGACGTCCGATTTCATGCCGGCCGATTCCCCCCAAAAAGCTCTCAAGGGCGGGGATGCGAGGATGCCGCGTGCGAGGATGAGCCTCTTCCTTCTTCCTTGCGATAGGGATGATGCGTGGGATCCCGTCCGTTCCAGTAAAGACATGCAGCGGTCGCAAAGCTTCCACTTCGGGCTGCCTTTAGGTTGCACAAATCGGACAATTGCGCCAGAGCTCTCAGATTGGCACTCGATTCACCCTCTCTGATTTGGTAACTCTCCATCCCTCTACCATGGCATGCCGACACTTCTCAAACCAATATTCTACACTAAAAGACTGGACCCAAAATATCGGGCAATGAACTAACAAAGCGACACCCTCCCTACCTGGGTCATACGGACGCAGGTAAAGAGAACACACGATACACTGATGTTCTTGAAACTTTGCCGGAATTGACGATAAAATTACTCTAATGAGTCCGCACTCACGACCGTCCACGACTAGGCTTGACCAGCTCCCAGAATCGCTTGAGACCACCTACCTGAAATGAGTTTACTGTCGTCGCGACACAAGCTGAGCCGCCTATATCCGTCACTCGCTTTGATAGGTATGCTCGAGAGAAGTTACCGCACAGTAGTTAGTGTACGGTCATTATCCATCATCGTCTGTGTGGCTGCCGAGGTTTCGCTTCGGCCGGGGCTCGGGGAGGGGTCATGGTTCAAATCATGGGAACTTCCACTTGTGAAGACATACACAGTTCGAACATGAAGTCCCTCAAAGTTGCCAAGGTTGAGCCCCAATCTCGACTTCGCAAGATCCCAGAAGAATGTGGAGAGGGTGACAAGAGAGCCCCAGTCCCCCCATGTCCCGATGCCGATTGGCCTTGTATGCATGTCTCCACTTTGTTGTCGTCGGAGCGGGTCACTTTGTGGGTGAGTGGATATGCGGGTCAATCATTCCATAGCGGATCCCGTCACCTCATGGGACCGCTGGGGACCGCTGGGGACCGGCACGGGAAGCAGCCCGGTGATGAGCTTCCCCGTCCAGTTCTCGTCAACGATTCAGTTCATTCGGGATTCGAACGACGGCATGACGGTTGGACACTGGAGAGGGAATCTCAATAACAATCCCTTATCTGGTGATGCCGGCTCAACAATATTAACCATCATCCGATGGCAGATATCGCTATCCATTATCATGTACATGTATGTATACAATGTGATCACTTTTTCGTGTTCCTAACAACTTGACAGTTTTTGCTCCAAGCGGTTGTGGCGAGGTTAGCGCTCGCGTCTGAAAAGGAAAAAGACGCAAGAAATGCCGATGCCAAGTTGACGAGGCCGCTTTCGTAGACTCAAGAGTGTGGGGAGCGGCTAGATCTTAGCAGCACGTGCTGACTTAATGCAAGTTTCTCCATTTCTTTGGATGTCTTCTCTTCGGGCACCTAGGACGACAAGATTGGGTTTGTAACATTGCATCATGATTCCCAGATATCGGTTACCTTTGCGATATCACATCACGGGCGTGAATCGCCTCGACCGCTAAACTGGCAAGCCACCGAGCCTTATCTCAATCTCCATTCCTTTCATCGTTCCTCTTCTCCTCTCGGATAGCATGCTTGTGCGTGAGAAATGTGGATGGATGAACGGTTGACATGTGCCTAACCAGGCCGCATGATGTCCTTGGAACTCAGCCTCAATTCAACCGAAACGCACATCCCCGCACCGCCGGGTCATCATCCATCCTTCAACAACGTACAAACGACTTGGAGAAAAACACATCAATCCACATTGCGTCAAGTGCCTAACTTAACGAAAGCCACATGGATATCTATTACACATATGCTAACATGAAGCTTAGTCCCTAATATGTCAATAAGCGCCATCACACAGTTACAGAAGTATCATGGGTCGTCAGTCAAATGCCTGGATACTGAACATGTTATCGGCGGTCGGCGGTCAGACTGGACAAGTCCTCCGTCGTTTGCAGTCAGTCAGCTTGAACTCGTTCCGTCTTTTTTCTGCTTCTCGCAGATGAGTTAGAGTTAATGCGGTTGCGGACGGTTCAGTCATTGATGCATCTTCCTTTGGACGCTCGCCGCTGTGCTGGTTGCTGTTCACTTTGCCATGGATAATTGATTCTTGTGAAAGTGGCACCAAGGGCGAAGAAGAAAGTTCTGGCGAGTCTGGCGATGGTGGAGTAAACGCGATTGAGGGCAGAGGGGGACGATGTGCTGTGATACCGCCGCCCCCCCATCCTTCGTCCTCGGAGGGATGCGATGGGTCAGAGTCAATCCACAAACCTGGCTGGTGTTGTGGTCTTTGACTAGTCCGCCGGGTTTGAACTGTCAGCGGAGGAGAAAACCAGCCTTTGGCGCTTAGTGGGTAATCTGTGTCTCTCTCTTCTCGTTGTTGATGGGCTGATGATAAGGTGTGACACGAAAGGAAAGGAGTCGGGTCCCTCTGAAAGTGTGGCGAAATCTTAGCACTGGCGTCTTCGTCTTCTTCTTCCTCCTCCCCCATAGGCTCTGCCACCGTACCTAGCTCTTGTTCTCCATCCCCATTATGCGCATCAGTAATCGCATCGAGCTTCTCGATGAAAGGAGCGAGCCGAATCTTCCTAGGCTCCCATGAAGCTGCATTATCGCGTTCAAGACGTCTGAAGAGACTGTCATCTTCCTCGGGTTCGCATATCCAGGGATGAGTAAGAGCTTGGCGCGCCGTGAGCCGATGTTTGCTGTTGTAGATGAGACATCCGCGAATGAAGTCCTTTGCATGGCTTGAGATATTTTCATCTGGACGGAGGCGGGAGGTTTGAGGGTCAATGGGCTCATCGTCATTACCGTAGTCTTCATCGCCATCTCGAACAGCAACGTCATAGCCGTGGTCATTAAGGATGATGTTGAGGTAGCGGTCGATTCTGTCTTGGCTGGTAAAGTCGAGATGCCGAAGATTCGGAAGTTCCTGGAATCCAGAGAAAAGCTGAAGGCAAAGCATCCCAATGGACCAGATGTCGACAGACAATGAATGACCTCGCTCGGAGTTATAGCATTCGCTGAATCAAGCGTTAGTAATGCTCTCAACAATCCAATGACACAAGTCAACCCAGGAGGGGAAGTGCGAAACTCACGGGGCGCGATAGAAGGTTGTTCCAACCTCGGACTTTAATCTTCCACGGTTTGTAACAGCCGAGTCTCCAAAATCAGAGAGGACAAGCCTGTAGGAGACATTGGGCGCTATGGCGCAGAGAATATTTTCTGGCTTGATGTCTCGATGTGCGACCCCCTTGTTGTGGATGTAGTCAACAGCATTGAGGGTCTGGCGTATGATCCAGCGTATTTCTAGCTCGGGGAGTGCCCCCTCGCGCGATAGAAGTGAGAAGAGATCGCCACCAGTAGCCAGCTCTGTAAAGATATACCTAGACATACATTAGTCGCCCAACCCTGTTAGCTGCTCGTGATGAAGGTCTTACACCGAATGCTCTGATTCAAAGGCAGCCTTGATGGAAAGAATATTCGGCTGACAACTTTTGTCAGCTTGAACCATCTTTCCATGCTCTTTCAAAGACATACGTGATCGAGGTAGCTCAACAGCATTGCCTCCTGCTTGATCCGGCGGAGTATCTGGTGTGATCGGGGCCGGCTATCTAAGTTGTGCACTTTGCAAGCCACCTGCTGCCCTGTCAAGACATCTGTGGCTAGGTAGACCACAGCATGGGCACCATTTCCTAATGTGCGGTCTTCCACAAGGTATCGGCTCTCAAGGAGCTGGATGTTGCTAAGTCAGATCATGGCATGTTTATTTTCGTCGCACGCCAAGATAACAATAATACCTTGAGCTCCTCTCGCTGGCGTGCAGTGAGACGCAGAAACGAAGTTCCCTCCTCGAGCTGAACGAACTTGAAAGTGATGTAAGGATAGATGGAGATGACATCTCCATTCTGAAGTAGTCTTCCCGGAGTGATGTCTGGCTTCTTGCCAACACACTTTTTGTTGAGCAGAGTTCCGTTGGAAGACTGCCGGTCTCGCACAAAGACAAGTGATGTATGGCGACCTTCTTCGTCAACAGTGATGGAATACAGCTCAAAGTGGTTTCTTGAGACAGTGGAATCGGCAAAGACAACGTCATTATTGTCTCGGTCCGTGTCACGACCAATTCTGACTGTCTGGTTTGGCCAGATGTAAAAGCCGCCTACACTTGCGATACGAAGGTTAGGGAGCACCGGTTGGAGGAGACCAGCAAGGGATACACCACAGTATTCACGATCGCTTCAGGAAAATGACAGAAACCTACCTCTTGTAGGAGGAGTAGTGCTAGTGTCCTCGAAGGAAACACTTGCCACAGGCGGTTGCGACATTTCAAACCAGCTATCAACACCGAGACACGGAAAACAAAGGATAATGATAATGATAAAGCCGGCAATGTCAGCGTTCACTCATGTATGCGTCGATGTCGTCACTTGCATCCGTAGATAGTGTTGACTTTTCATGGCCCAAAGTGGCTTTGCGTATTGAGAAGTAGAGGTAGGTAAGGTTGGGAATGACACTCAAGAGTTCAAGATCACAGGACGAGATTGGAAGAGTGAGTTGGTGCCTTGAGTATCGACTCCTCCTTCCCATGTCCAGCCATCGTGAAAATTCTTCATGCAGACAAGTCGTGCCTTCCTTTGACCTGACGGTTGCAACTTGCAAGTGAAGTGGAAGTGCAGTGTCCATGCTTGAGGGCTTGCCAGATAGGCAGGAGGCAGGCTCGCCCGTTGGAGGACGGGACGGGAGTCGATCTCCGAGCCGAGCTTCTGACGCAGTCCAACTGAAGCTCCCGTCCCTCAGCGGGAGCTTGGGCCACCTAGGGCAAAGGTCGCACCCCGCACGGACCGCATACAAACAAAGAGCGGCAGGCCTGGGCAATTTGGGCCTGCGTCACCTGACTTACCCCACAGGGCTGCTTGCCCTGGAGCCCTATGAGATAAAAGTTCCCCCTCTCCATTCGCAAGTTGAAACTCTTTCCCATCACCAACAAGCAAAACTCATCTTTAAATCCAAGATGTACGCGCTCCCGCCCCCCAGCATTTGCTTGGCCGCCTACTGACATACAAGCAGTTCAAGATGAGAGCGAAGTGGAGAAAGAAGCGCGTGAGACGCCTTAAGCGCAAGAGAAGAAAGATGAGAGCGAGATCGTAAGTTTCACCATCGGCGCATCGACAGTTGATGCAGCTACAATCGCCACTCTGGAGCATATAAGCTGACTCGATCCCAGCAAATAAACGCCTCGCCTCACTCGACCCAATCAGCTCTTGACATCATCCTCTAAGCCATCAGACAACTTGGGCTCGGTGTCGACTCCTCCCCTCAGCGCGGAATGACGCCACATCGGTCGCTCTGAAACCTTGCGGTGATCAGGCGAACTCAGGGTTCCTACGGAACATGCACCCCTCGGGACATGCTGCACATCAAACTGCGGCACACATAGAACGGAACTGTTTGGTGGTGGATATGGTATTGGCTGGTTGCCTGTCAACTTCATGGTTGAGTAGCAACAAGGTGTTTACGGATCAACGCCGGTGGGAGCAAACTGTCTAGTTTGGAGACGCGAATTCGGGATACCCGTCGCAGCAACAATAAAGGCCGCTTCGCTTCATGGTACATTTCTCTGCATCTGTGACAAACGGGACTGCATGTCTTGGATCAATTGTTTCTGTCGACAACATGGCCATCTGCCCTCGAACAGGTGACATGGCATTTGCACACAAGGGAATACCAATTTTTGCAACATCAGTGAACATTTTTAACGACGGGGGAGGCAGTGGCCTGCATGCACGAGGGCATAGAAATCGCGTCCCAAGCCTTGGTTCGCCTTGTGACTTGGACTGAACCCCTCCATGTCTGGTTGATTGTTCTAGCACGCTTGCGGCTTGCTATTCTTCATCTCTCCAAGCAATTTAACAGCAAACAGATAGCGATTGATTTCATAACATGAAGATTCCGCGCTTCGTAGTATTTCAAGACAATCATCAAACATATTGCATCGTCGTCATCGAGTGTGGTGTGTCGATTGCAAAGGCGGTAACTGATACCGGACCCCGGCAGGCGGCAGAATTTTTTTCTGGCTGCGGGATCCACTTGGAAGTTCAGACAGCGACTCTCCAGCTGCATGATCCATTTGATTTGGCGGGACTTCACGACTCTACACTACCCCAGCACCTTTGTAGCCCGCAAACACCACCATGGGAAGCTCATCAGACAAGAAGCGCAAGAGCGCTGAGGATACAACACCCCAAATCAAGAAGAAGAAGATCGACTCCGAGAAATCGTCCAAGTCGCCCAAGTTCATCAATGTCGGAGCCGTGAAGAGGCCGCAGTATGCGCCTCCGGTCGTGGGTAAGCACATGTTGATCGGCTGAAACCATGGCCGTCAAGTCCAATGGAGGAAGACTCTAACATGCGCTCCCAGCCGCGACCTCGGGACTTGCTCTCTCTTCGTCCATACAATTTCAAGCCTACGCCACACCAGCCGACAAGACCTCGAAGCGCAAGAAGAATGGTGCGCCCGCACAAGAGTTGCTGCTGCACTCTGCCAACCACCGGACGATGGACTACACAGCTCGCGAAGACAGGACAGGAGACTCGTCCGACCCATACCTGAAGCACTACATTGGCATCTTCAACCCCAAAACTGCCGAGGTCGAGATTGTGGAGGCGCGCAAGACGGTGCTCCGTGGCACAGTCAGGTCGCAGAAGGCTGTTGACGAGGCAATGGAAGAGAAGACTCAGAAACAGGTAAGCCTGGAAGGAATGGTCAGGGGCATAAAACCAGACTGACGGTGCAACAGCAAATGATGGCCATGAGGAACGAGCTCGGCGAGGCATTCGGTACCAAGAAGGCGAAGAAGGCGATCCGCGACGTGACGGAGAATGCCATTACATCTCAAAAGGTTGGCCAGAGCGAGCTGGTGATGATGGACGCCATCAAGACCGCCACCAAGGACATGTCGACCAAGGAAGACCTTCAAGCCGCTGTCGACAACGCCCGACCGGTACCGCGCGGCAACTTCGCTGCCACAGAAATCGCAGACGTCTACGTACCATCCCAAATCATCGGATCCGAGGTCCTGAACGCGATACCAGTGATGGATTGGCAGGAGAGCGTCAAGAATCTAGAGGACATCCAGGTACCTTCGCGCTTCGTCGCCAAGCGCGTTTCCAACGTAGCAAGCAGCGACGACGCGGTGCACAGATTGAGGGTACTGCGGTACCTCTTGTTCGTCATCATTTTCTGGAACGCTACCTCGCAAGGAAGGGAGCGTGGCACAAGAAGCATTGGTAAGAGGGATAAGCTGCGCGAGGTTATGGCACCAGCGCCCGAGATCGTGATTGAAAACATCCGCCGCAAGTTCTCGGACGGCGGAGTCATGCGCAAGACACACGTTGACCTTCTGATGACGCACTGCTGCGCATTTGCCGCCATCATCGACGGCTTCAAGGTCAACACGATTGACTTGAGAGAAGATCTGAAGCTGGAGCAGAAGCAGCTCAACCAATACTTTATCGAGATTGGAGCTCGCGTCAAGCAACAGAAGGTCGCTGACAGGATGGAGAACTTTGCCGTTCTGCAGCTGCCTCTTCAGTTTCCCAAGATCAGACTGCCGGCACGGAAGAGGTAAATCACCCTTTGCTGAGCCGGGCCCACGGCCACGAATCATATCATCAATTTTAGTTGGATTGTGCGCAGTGCACATCATCCACCCAGTCCTACATTGGACATTTGGGCACTTACGTTTGGAAGTGCTCTACGAAGTGCTGAGAAAAGGCATGCTTTTGGCAAGAGAAGCGATTGTCCAGCTCAGTTGGAAGTCTGGCCGCTTCCAGCCTGTAACCACCATGGTGTGTTGTTGAGACACACCCAAGCGACACCCAGGCGCTGGCCAATCAAAATTCCAAGCGCCTAATCGAGAGGAGGCCATGACCTGTACCGCACTATTTGAGCATCTTGCGGAGGTATACATTAGTTATTTTGTGGTTCGGGCAGTAAAAGCTATGCTAGAAAGCATATATCATTGTATAGACGGTGTAGAGAATAGTCATGGAAATTGATGGGCCATAAGAAGTATGGCGGGAAGCCTATTGTCCCCCCATCTACATAAGCTCTGAATGGGGTCAAAGAGACGACATTGAAATCTAGGAAAAGGGTCACCCCACAGAAACCTGGCCCCCCTGGGTTCTGATTTCTGAGTGCCTCAACGCTTGGCCAACCCCTTTGTGTTTGTTTACTACTGATATCCGCACGGACCCAATAATGAAGATGGGAACTGATGACGGGCTTCAAGATGAGCAATGGGGCAGAGATGATCATTAACCTGAACCAGCTAACACCAGTCGATGTGCAAAATCAGAACCACGAACGTCGACCGGACATATGTAACAAGAATGTCCGCGGCAAATCCTACGCAGATATCATAACAGCCGACGGCCAGGCTAGAAGAAAACAAGATAGAAAGGTAGTTATATGGCTGGATGGGCATCCGCCCTGGCGTCACCTTCTACCGCTGCCCTGTTCCCTTTCGCTGGCCGCTGGCCGCTGGCCGCCCCGCGGTGTGAGACGCCGTCGGTGGTAGGTAGAGGTAGGGCTGGGCCGAAGCCGATCACCCCACGATGGAGTCCCTTCCCCTTGTGCCTCCCCAAAGCGTCCCGGGCAGACTTTGTCCGTCCTCGTTTCCCTAGCCCATTGCCTTGACCATCCCGTCGTCCGTGTGCCGGCCGCTGCTTGTGCTTCCCCTCGCTCCAGTCCAGTCCCCTTAAGTTGGACCCCTTGGCGTTGTGCAGAGTGAAGGCGCTTGAGCCGCATTCGAAAGCCACGTGGGGAAAATCCCCACCGAGCGACCAGAGCCAGTGCAGTTTTCCTCACCGGCGCCCACCCCGACCAGCTTAAATGGTATGACGACATTGCCTCTTTTAAAGAGCTTTTGGGATCTTCAATTCAGACGCGTCTCACTCTCAACGACCATTTTCCACACATTACTTTGCTCTCTAAATTGCGGCTTCATTTTTGCATTTGCACACTCAATGCACCTTTTCCAATGCTCTCTGATGTCTCTGCTTTCAATCTGAGCAGCCGTTCTCTGCAATTTTGTGTTGATGACAGCGACAATACGAGTGCTCAATTCTCGACGCGTCAAAGTTGGGTCGACGGGCGAATTGTCGGGGCAGGGGGGTACTTTGCGATTTTTTCTGAGGTGATTCGCAATGCCGGGGCTGGTGCCTGCAGCGCATGGACCAGCTTTTGTGGTCTCGGGGCGTGCTGATTGGCCAGGATGGTGCCAACCAGCGCCTTTCTTCCAGTTCCAGTTTCATTCCAGTTCACAGTTCCGCGAACTACCTGGTAATGAAGGGAACGAACGCGACCGACCGACCGCTGACTGTCCACCTTCTTGCCTCCCGTCTGCCGCACCCCAGGCAGGTCACCACGCTCATTCACTCACCACCTCAACTCCAGTGACACTTTCACGCCAGTCCTAGGTAGTCTTTGCCCCTGCTTCTGGCCTCCCTCCCGTCCTGCCTTCCTTCTGCACAACCTACCTACAATTCACGGCATCTGACCGACTGCACTCGATATCTCCCGCCGAGGTGAAGCTGTCCAGCTTCGCGACTTTCAACTATAACCACCTCAACGACTGGAGTTTGCTTCAAGTCCTCTCTCGGGAAGTTATGCGCGCGCGCGAGAGGATTTACACCACACTGCTGCCTCCCTCCACTACTACAACCTCTACATAACATACTAGCTCGGCACCAAGACCGGCACCGCAGTCCGACTTCGACTCCCCAGCGAGCAGTCTAGTCTAGTGCCGGGCGTGTGTTCGTGTGTGTGCGTGTCTGCTGCCGTGTGTATGTGTGTATGCATATTGCATTACCCAAAGAAAAAAAAAAGCATCGTCGCATCAGTCGTCGCATCTACCAAATCCTACTACCTGCCCAGTGCCTCTCCTAGATGCCCTTCGACTCTCTGTCTGGCTCTACCTCAATTGCGCCCTTGGATAGGTTTTGCTCTGTCCAAACCTCAAGGCAACTTCGACCTGAACTAAAGTGCTCCGTCGATGCAGCGGTACATCCCACCTCCTGTTAGTCGTCAACCTGACAGCAAGGTGAGAGCCGAGTGTTGACCCAACTTCACACCCCACGGCATCTAGGTCCATACCAGACAGAACATAAATCTGTATGTGGCTCTCTCCTTTTCTGGTCTTCAGTTGCATCTTTCCATCCCGTCCTTTTGCTCCCACTTCCTATTGTTTCCCTTGACCTGTTGACGCATCCTGTTTTGCTCTGCACGGCACACACGGACCTAACACGACTTATTCAGGCAGGCTGCTAGATATTGAATAGCTGTTATCAATAAACATCGGATCGAAATAGCCAGTCGCAAGCTCAACAATTCACCAACCGCTAGCTTTTTGCCCCCATTCTCGCCATCGGACGGAATAGGCACCCCATCGGAATCCACCCTACTATTGTCCACCACCCACCCCAGTCCTATTCAGAGCTATTCGTTGCAGCACTTATTGGACCATATTATACCTAGCCGTTTTGCCCCCACCAACCATCTGCTATGTCTAAGCGTAAAAAGGACTTTCTCACGGATTTCGACCCTAACAAATCCGATCCCGAAGACGAAAACTTTGACCCCATTGCCGAGAAGCAACGAACCCCGCGAAGTGCAAGAAAGCAAGCGAATACCCGCCGCCCAAAGAACCGAGGCGCTGCTGGCGGCGCGCGCAGGCGGAACAGCCGATACAAAGGATCCGACATCGAAGACGACGAAGATATCAGCGACAGCGAACAAGACATCTCTTTCGGTGAAGAGGAAGACGAGGAAGAAGAAGAAGAAGACTCGGACGCTCCTGTCAACGCTACGGGCAGGCGGATGCGCCAGGCTGCCGCACGACACCAATCGTACAGGGAAAGCAGTGAAGACGAAGACGGGATCCAGTCGTCTGACCAAGACAAAGACGTCGTCCAAGAGCCCGGCGAAGAAGATAGAGTGCCTTCGATAGAATCTCCTGAACAGAGTCCCCGCAAAAAGAAGTCTCGCATCGTTGTGCTGAGTGTCAAGAAAGGCGCCAAGCCAAGCTCACAACGACCAAGACGTGGCGCTGCTGCCAAAGAACCAGCAACTATGGTTCCCCCGACCCGCCGCTCTACGAGAGCCCGCACGGAAGAGACGGACGAGCCATTGCTCGAGCTGTCCAACTCAGGAAGACATACCCGCGTCACCCGCGCATCAACAAGAAGTAAAAGCCCGGAAGCCATGACCCACGCCACCAGAGCTACCCGTGGTTCCAAGGGTGTTAAGAAACAACAACCTCCACCCATCCCCGAAGCCTCGCATGAGGAAGATGACGACGAATTCAAGGTCGAGACGGATATACCCAATGTTGACGATGTGGACGAGCTGGCCGGTCAGGCGAACATGGTCGATGCGCCCGCTGACCATCCGGACGAGCACCAAGAGGGAAGGGCTGAACAGGTGGCTGAGGAAGGAGCTGCTCAGCAGGTTAGCGAAGAACAACCTGCACAGACTGAGAGCCAACCAGCAGCGGAAGACGCAGACGGTGACGACGAAGACGATCGTCCGATTACTAGGCGGACTCGTGGGGCTAGAGCCGTCACATCTACTACAGCTGCCTCGACCACGACTACTGTCACAGCAGTTGAACCAGAGGGCGAAGGACTCAGGAGCCGCCTCAGGCGCGGATCTCGCTTGAAGAAGAGGTCGCTCGCGGAACCCAGTAGTGATTTTGAGCCAGGCGAGGAGTCAGGCGATAACGAAGGCTACGCCTCGGAGGCTTCAGTTAAAAAGAGTGTACGTAAAGGTTCCAGTGCAGATGAGTCTGCCGCTACACCCGTTCGCGGACGTTCCACCCGCGCCCGCGCTGCCAAAAGGCCTCGCCGCAACCAAGATTCTGGCGACGAGGAAGTTGAGCTGGATAGGGAGGAGCTTGCCGAAGAACTCGAGGAGCTTCGCGAGAGCTCACGCTCGCGGCCACGAAGAGCTGCCACTCGCCGTCGCCGCTCACCTTCCATTCAGTACGAGGAGCCCGCAGGCAAGAGACGTCGCACTACCCAGCGTGTTGATTACACTATCCCGGCGATCGACTTGGCCGCTCTCGAGGCCGAGGAAGATGAAGAGCCTGTGGCAACGCCAGCAAGAGGCCGCAAGAGGAACGGAGGAAATGCAGGATGGGACCGTCCTTTGAACACCACCTATGGTCCCTTCGGTGGCGCTGGAATTGGCGCTCTGCTTGGAGGCCCTTGGGGCACCGGCGCTACGGGCGGCGTTGATTCCGACAGCAGCGACGACGAGATGGTGCAACGAACCGGTCCTGGCCAGAACCTTATTGGCATGACACCCACTTCTGCCGCTCCTGCGGTTGGCTTATCCAATCCTGCGGCTCAGACCCATAATGTGGACGGCCTGGGTGGTATTGGAGGCGCCACACCTAACGTCGGAAAGGTGAAGAATCTCAAAGTGTTTGCGGATGCGGACCCGCTTGGCGTCGACACGAGTGTTGACTTCAGCAAAGTCGGAGGCTTACAAGGCCACATCGACCAACTCAAGGAGATGGTTCAGCTTCCCCTTTTGTATCCCGAACTTTTCACCAGATTTCATGTTACACCACCACGAGGTGTTCTTTTCCACGGTCCGCCCGGTACCGGTAAAACTCTCCTCGCCAGAGCCTTGGCCAACTCGGTCGGCTCCGGAGGCCGCAAGATCAGCTTCTACATGCGCAAAGGAGCTGACGCTCTCAGCAAGTGGGTTGGTGAAGCAGAGAAGCAGCTGCGGGTGCTCTTCGAGGAAGCTCGGAGGACGCAACCCAGTATCATCTTCTTCGATGAGATCGATGGTCTTGCCCCTGTGCGATCTAGCAAGCAGGAGCAGATCCACGCAAGCATTGTCTCTACCCTGCTGGCGTTGATGGATGGCATGGACGGTCGTGGACAAGTGATTGTCATCGGTGCCACTAACCGGCCTGACAACATCGACCCTGCTTTGCGTCGCCCCGGCCGTTTCGACCGAGAATTCTACTTCCCCCTTCCCGACATCGAAGGAAGGCGATCGATTCTCGAGATTCACACCAAGGACTGGGGTTTGTCGAACGAGTTCAAAGACCAGTTGGCCGAATTCACGAAGGGATATGGCGGTGCCGATCTCCGTGCCCTTTGCACCGAGGCGGCTCTGAATGCCATTCAGAGAACGTATCCCCAGATCTATACATCCAAGGAAAAGCTTGTGGTCAATCCTCAGAAGATCAACATTCAGGCGTCAGATTTCATGCACTCTATCAAGAAGATGGTGCCCTCGTCTGAGCGTTCGGCGTCATCCAGCGCCATGACCATCCCCAAAATGGTCAAGCCACTTCTGGAGAAGCAATTTGAGGCTCTCGTCGCGCA